AACGAAAGCTGGACGAAATTGTCTGAGCCAAACTGCAGCCAATTTTCTAAAAACTAAAAAGCAAAAGAATGGGGTGGCAGTCACTGCGCTTAAATAGGTACTTCTTGAAGTGTTACTGGCACTGGCATCAGTTAGACCTTATTATAGTCAGACAAGCGGCCCTCAAATCTGTACTCCATACGCGCTCATATCACAGCGCTGACTGCGACGAACTACTCCGCCAGTGTTGGGAAGAGGGATCCGTCCCAAAGAAATGCGTGATGCCAGGATATTAACCTTGAATAAGAACAAAGGAGATGGGAGTGAATGTAACAACTATCGTGGAATATCTCTACTCAGCATAACTGGCGAATTGTTTGCTCGTGTTGTGCTTACCAGAAACTGACTGAGCGCATCTATCCAGAGTCCCAATGTGGCTTCAGGTCCTGGTCCAAAAGATCCACCATTGACATGATATTCTTCTTACGCTAACTCCAGCAGAAACGCAGAGAACAGCAAAGGCCTTATACATGGCCTTTGATTACCTCACCAAGGCTTTTGACCTCGTCAGCAGAGATGGGTTATTCCAGATCCTACTGAAGATAGGGTGCCCTCCGAAGCTTCTCAGCATCATCAAGTCTTTCCATGAGAATACGCAAGGGACGGTGCAGTACGTTCGCAATCTATCAGACAGCTTCAACATACAAAATAGAGTAAAGTAAGGCTGTGTCTTGGTCCAACCCTTTTTGGCATCTTTTTCTCCGTGCTCCTAAAGCAAGCCTTCGGCTAGTCGTCAGGGGGTATCTGCCTGCACACCAGGTCAGATGGACAACTGTTCAACCTGTCCAGATTAAAAGCCAGAACCAAAATCCACAAGACCTTAATTCGTGGTCTGGTCTTTACTAATGCTGCTGCACTCACCAATCACTCTAAACAACACCTTCGATGTCCGCTAGACCGCTTCTCCAAAGCATGTGATGATTTTGGACTTATCAGTCTAAAAACGACTAAGGTAATGACACAAGGGGTAGGGGATCAGCCAGTCATCACTATCAAAGATTAGCAATTTGAATTTGTGCTCAAGTTCAAGTATGTCGACTCCACCATGACTGAGAACTTCTCTCTCGATAGTGAAATCAACAGTCGCATCGGGCAGGCTTTTTCAAACCTCTCCCAACTTTCCACTCGCGCATGGCAGAACCAAAATCTGACCACAAAGACCACAGCTGCAGTATGCAATGCCTGTGTAATCAGGCAATCAGCACATTACTTTACGACAGTGAAGCATGGACGACACATGCCACGCAGCAGAAGAAAGTCAACAACTTTCATCTCCGCTCTTTAATCCGCATCCTAGACATTTGATTCAAAAGCGCCCATCCACTCGAGATTTCACCAAGAGCATGCTCGATAGTGACCCTAACCATCTCTTTCCTACATCGCCGGCCAAGTGGAAATTTAAGCTGGCAGATCTCACGGCTGTTTTTCACGTAAACGTCGCAAATCTCACAGCTGTTTTTCATCGCGCCAAGCAAGTTTATTGAAGGAGAGTGGTAATTTTGATCGCAAATCTCACAGATGTTTTATTAAACAACAACTTTACCGGAGGAAAATTTTGCTTCAAAAGATCCCATCGCTTCCAGATTTCACTTATAGTTCATATTTGATAGATGGCAAACGAATATTTCTCATCGCGGCCCGTCAATAACACGGTCAAACAATGAAGCCAAACTCCATGAAATCGTTTTGGTAGTAACACGACCTAAACCACTACAGCGACATAGAAAAAAGGTCAGAAACGAAGCCAGGGAAGGCTTTTCCATTCGGAGCAAGTGAGCCGGGCACTTTGACACAACATTGTCACTATAACTACAAATATTAAAACGAACCAAATTCTGTTATC